GTAGATTCATTTGTTAATGATTGTGATGATATATTCACATCAACATCGGTACGATTTTGTTCAGATTGAGCTGCATTAGGTATAGTTGATACTTGTTCACGCATTCCTGTCTCTAGAAAATAAGAACATACAAATGAGAAATATACCTATAATAAACTCACTATTTTTTCTCGGATTTGTTTCATTTTTATACTTGGCATAACAATATTTTCTTTTTTTATCATCAATATGTTCGATCTGTTTTCGAAGAATTACACAAGCAACATATAAATCACAATCGGATACAAAATCATCACCTGAATAAAATATTCAAAAAAAATACGTAAAACAATAGTTTGTTGATTAACGTATGTTTTATTCGTAATTGATCTTCGCAACATCGTTTAATAATAGATAATTTAAAATTTTGATCTAATAAACATTGTGACATCGATAAGTCTAATCGTGCAGCGACGAGTCTGGATAAAGTACTTTCATCAGGTATTACTAATTTTCCACTATTTTCTGTCACATTAGTATTTATCAGATCATTTGAGCCTGTTCTTTGTCTTAATTTGTTAGCTCTAGCGCGTTCTATCAAAGAAAAAAAAATCAATCAATTTAAACCAATATTGTATAATTTTTCAAAATTTCCCTTGTTGTATTCGTTTAGATTCTTGAATTTTACGATATAGTTCTTCGCCACACAATTGTTTAGCATATGCACAAAATGGAAACCAACGAGCATGTTCAAACATTGGATTATCATTTGAACTCCAATTTTGTAACGATCCATTACAATAAAAGCAAGTAACAATGGTTGCTGCACCTGTATAAAAAAATCCTGCTCGAACTAAATCATCTACTAATGATAAATTTTCATTTGGCCATGTGACGAATGATGCATGACGTTTTGGTATTTCTGAATAAGCAGGATTACATGATGCTCTAAATACAATATCATTAGGTCGTAATGAGCTGAGATTATTTGATATTGATGAAGTTGTAGGATGCATTAATGTTGTTTTGACATATATACAATTAGGTGATAGTGTTTTATGTAATTCACACGGATCATCGGTATGTAGTGTCCATTGTTGACCAATAAGATTACAATAGATGCATACTACTCGATCACTCACATTGCAACAAAAAAATCCAGCCTCAATCATTTGTGCACTCGATGGAACAGTACGATGTGGCCAATGAGAAAACGTACGTCTTCGCACTTGTTGAAGTGAATTAGTTTCAAGTAAAGTATTTGATACTGATTGGAAATCCATCATTTTTATCTTTTGAAGAGTATAAGTACTTTCGTCTGCCGTTGATATAGATGCATTTTGAGTAGTAGTTATTGGTATCGTGCAAGACACAAGTACATCTGATGATGAAGTTGGTATTATAGAGCGTACGAATGGACAATCCGGTTGACATTTTGAATAAATAGTAAATGGATTCATATCTAATGTCCAGTTGGATACTTCAAGTCCGCAGTATTTACAACGAGCTGTATGTCCATCACCTGTATAATCAAAGCCAACATCAGACATATAGCTGACGGCATGAACACCTGGTCTCTTTATTGATTCAATTAATGTTTAAATTCGATTAATCATAGTAGCGAGAGTTTGAGATTCTTCTTTTTTCTTATTGAATGTTTTCGATGAATCATGCATTGATTTATATTTATTAGATGAATTATTCAAACTGTCAGTTGGAAATTTAGCTGTAACCGACATTTTGCTTTATCTATCTAATAAAATCTAAAAGAGATATTTATAAAAGAACGTTTGATTCATGAAAATTTTAAACAGATTTTAATCATTCAAACGACCTCACTAAGTATGCTTTGAAGCGTAAAATAGAATCTAATTATTAAAAACGACAGAATCGAAGATAATACTACAAATCGACCCAGTGACAATTTTCCTTTAAAAACACCGCAGTCATTAGTAAAAATTTTGCAGACTCATTTGATAACATGTTTTAGTGAGACCAAAATTATTTGGATATTTATAACTCACTATACAGTCGTTATATGACACCCATAAAACTTAGTGTGACAAAAATTTATGTAAGTGACTAAAACCCAAACGCATGAAATTATGCCTGATGGAAAAATTTTCCTTCGAGCGATGATTGCACTTGATAAATATATACTATACTTTCTTGTAATAAATCCGCAACTATATATGGATTGATAAAGAGTGCCTAAGACATGATAATATCCAAGAACATTAAAGATAAATACATGCGATAAAATGGGAAATAGCAGACGACAGATAGGAAAGTCTTCTTTTCTCTAATGGATCCATCGATGTGTTTATATAAACTTTTTGGAAATTTCAATTATTACTCAAAGTTCCTAATAATTTCCGAAAATGTATTTTGTAAGTTCGGATTCGCTGTGAGAACAAAATTCTGTAAATTCTGCAGAGCTATAGAAATTTCCAAAAGTTTCTCGCCAATGTTGATGATTGGTATCTTTGTCACGTTGGAAATTTATGGCAAGACTTAAATTTTTTACTTTGAAAATCTAAACATTCGTCGTTCTACTCAGACTCAACTAGTGAACGGGTTTTTTTTTGACCCAAACTCAATGATACGTAGGTTTAGAGATAATAATCAGAAAGAATTCTGTTTCTTTTTGGGTGTCGAGGTGTTGGAACTGAGAAATTTCTGACATCACAATTGTAGACAATGCAATAATCTTTTCTTCAAATATAAGCTCACTCCTAGAGAAAAATCTGCATGAACTCTGTCGTTTGATTGTTGAAGAAAGTCTGATATTTTCATACACCATAAGATAAGATTGTTGCATATTGATTTTGAATTGTTTCAAAAATCTCCATTATTAATGAAAAACTTTGATTGGTCTATCTCCTTCTAGTGTGTCGTCGGATGTCGACAAAACCCAATCGATATACTAATAATAAAAGTAACATGATGCAATAACTAGCTTTACTTGGAAATTTCCAAGTGTAGACAGTAGAATGATAAAAAAATTTTTAATTGCATAAATATGTTATAAAGAAGGGCATTGACAAAAGATATGCATTACAAAATCTTTGCGCAGTGTGATGTAATAGATGGAAGCAGTAACGATACAAAGAAAAATCTAAATTGTAAATTATTAAAATGGGGTTCACAAAAATATTGAAAATGATTTGCACACTGTAATTAACTCTTTAATTCATGAAATGACGAATATTTTGTCTATTTGAAATGAACCGAAGCTCACCATTATCGATGCAATCTGATCATTTCTCAAGACCATCATCTTGATACGTACAATCTGAAACATGACATAATTTTCCGTCATAAAAATTCTATTGTATTTTATCATAAATAATATTTGATACACTATTTCCAATGGTTTTGAGACATATGTTGGTTTTAAAAATGTCTTTTCTTCTCATTTAAAGACTCCTCTCATTATTGGTGACTAGTAAAGAGGGTACAACAAAATTTCTTATGTCTTTAATTATAAAAAGGTGATAGTACCGTTAATTGATAAGATGTTATAATTGATATAGAATAAAATTATATTCCTAACAAGTTCTTCAGAGATTCTTTCTTCAGTGAAATCATTTTTTCTTGATTGTTAAGCATTGTCAACCAACCATTTAAATTAAAAAATTGCTTCGGTTTCAATTCACAGTTCGAAAATGGGTGGGTGTGGGTATCGTTTAAAAAAAAGAACAAAACTCACACCTTTCTGATCAGATAGTGTATCATGAAACAGATCCAAAAAACTACGATTATATCTTACTTGATGCAGCCTAAAGTGTTTCACAACTTCATGTTGAAAATGATATTACATATATATATATATCAGTATATATGATTGAGAGTAATTTGACTTCAAAAACTTATGAAATTTAAACATAGTTACAGCCGAATGAATATTGAAAATACGTACTTCCTAAGTATTCAGAGAGAATCCACTGCTATGTATTAGTGCATAGGTAAGCCTGACTAACCTTTGAAAATCTGATTAATATCTAGTTTTTAAATATTTACCTAATACTTTTGGATAAAACGACAATGCCAATTAGGTAAACAACTATAGAAGGTATCACAATGTAAAATTTTTATGTTGATCTTCATAATTCAATCAATGCCATCATCTTCTGTCTTATCGATCAACAAATCTTACTATGAATGCAAGTATATATAACTCGTCAGAGAAGCCATTATATTTATCAATATATATCCAATCATATGTTTAGAAAATTTCGATTCTAGTTGTCTTATACCAGTATCTCGCATATCGATCTATAAAAGCGACAAGTATTTGAGATTCTAAATATCTGAATTAACTGTTGAAACATAATTAATATCATGATTGTCTTTTGAAATGAATATAACGGGTAATGCAAAAGTTCCTGCACAGAAGTCAGTCCATTTTTCATTGAAAAAACATGTGTAGATAAACTCGAAAGTACTTGTAGAGAATCATCGTCAAAAGCTCTTGCTAAATATATGTTCTAAAAAGTTCTATCATGCCTTACCTTTGAGTAGGTAGCATATCTGTAAACAGAACTAAAATATGATCTGTAAAAACAGCTACAAATAGGGAGCACGTAAAAAAAATGAATCATTCGGTATTTTTTTATTATGTTCATTGCAATCGATAGTAGTATGATACTACTTCTTTATCAGTTAGATGTGTCATTCAATTCACTACAAACTTCATACAAAATCTTACGGTATCTTATTAGATGGTGTGATCGACAATTTCACAAACAATGATGTAAGAAATAACGTCAAAATTGAATGTGAAAATGACGAAGAGCCAAAAAAAAGATTTTTGAGATTCGAATGGTATCATTTTTGATAAAATCACTTGAAATGATGACATACAAATAGTCCGAGATAATCGTTTTATGAATATGTCTGAGTCAATGCCTAGAAATGACAGATTTGAACAGCGAGAAAAACAATACGAACATCAAGCTGAAAATGACTAGAGATCCGAGAGTAAGTTCTCTCAGTGTTGTTTCAAAGAATTTCATAGTGTTTTTCACATGATTTATCTGGAATAGAGGCAATAATCTGATACAAAAAAAGATGAACATCTTATGAAATGAACCGAAGGAAATCGCAAAATACTATGGGATAGGTACCTTCTTTTAGTATTCGTTTCCTATTGCAGATCATTTTTTAAGACTGTTTAATGATGTGCTCTCTACTGAAAGACAAAGCATGATAGAACTTTTTTTTTAAACATGTATTTAGAAAGATTTTTTTGACGTGGATTCTATCCAGGTACTTTTGCATCACTCATTAGTTCTGTTCTATAAAACAAAATCGATTATCTTGCATAATATGAATAAATAGTATATGTTAGAATGAAAAATAAAATGATTATTGTGAAATGAAAATCGACTATTGATTCAAGTTTTATATATTTTATTACTGTTTTGCGGAAATGTTTAACAATCTTGTTTATGTACATGCTCATCTTGTTTTCTTGATTCACATTATTGAAGAATTTAGAACGCGAAGAAAACCAAAGCTTCAAAATGAACTGGAACAGTGGAACTGGAGAAATGAAGGCCTGAGACCAATGCGGATTCGTTAAGAGCAGAGCAATAAGCAAGCGACCTCTTCCTGGTCCAAAGCAGGGTGTGGATGTTCCTGTTATTTATAATGATAGCCACAGTCACACCTGCACCCAAACCCACTTTCACACGCACACCCATACCAACACAGTCACACCCTACACTCACCCACATTCTACATGCACGCTCTCATTAATTTTTGTCACAGACGCTATGTATGACATTTGATGGAGCGACGAGAATCGTTTCTTTTCAAGTAGTTGTCGTTTGTTGAAGCGCTTTAACATTACAGAGACAAGCGCACATATAAAGTGTCATTTTCATTTTTTTTTCTTTTTTTTTCTCTTTCTTCCTGTTTTTCTTTGAGCTTTTATTACTTCTATTTCTTCGCTGCTGTTTTTCAGCTAGTTTCCTCTTTTATTTTTCATGGTACTTTGTGTTTATTCTTTTTTTTACTCTCTAATATATCTAACAAGTTTGAGTCAGTACCTCATGGACTAATATTGACGGTATATTATGAAATACTCTGCATTAATCATGTAGGTTCTGGCCTAAATCTATCCATTTTTATCAACCATATAAGTACTTCCAAGTGTTAGATCGGCTAGTATAATGAAAAAAAACATACCAAGTGTTTATCTTGGTTCCCTTAAAGTATCTTGTCGACTACATGTATCATTTTTGAAAGTTACTTTCTATCATTTCTATCTTTTACAGTTGTTAATAAAGATTATAATCCTATTTGAATGAACAAAACACAAGCAAATCAACAAGATTCAGTCAGTCCTACTGTTAAAGCAACACTAAATTGTATATATAAACGCATATGTTCTGAAATTTGTCGTACGGAATCAGTGAAACCATCAACTTCACATATATTCTTCATCTTTGATGCATCTGTATGTGTTTTTTTTTATTTCGATCGAATCAAATTCTTTTATTTTTATTTTTATAGGGTGATTTAGCTAAAAAGAAGATTTATCCAACACTTTCGTTTGTAAAGAGAAGAAAAAAATAGTTTAAGACTATGCTTGATTTAAATGTTTAGGTGGCTATATCGTGATGGACTTTTACCAGAACGCATTCGATTTATTGGCTATGCACGTAATTTAATAACAATTGAAAAAATCTTTGAAAATGCACCTAAATATATGAAAGTAAAAATGAATTTTTCATAATTCGACGAAATAAAAGTGTTCATATATATTAGATTCAGGAAGATGAACGTGAAACATATGAAAAATTTGTCCATATAAATTTCTATGTTGTTGATTCATATGATAATGGAAAAGATTTCGAAAATTTAAATGTTGAAGCTAATAAATTATCAAAACAAGATAGTGCACATCGAATTTTTTATTTAGCATTACCACCAAGTATTTATGAAAGTGTTACCGAATTGATTAGTAAACATTGCCGACCAAAATCGTATGGTGAAATTTTTACACATAAGTTTGCTTGTTTTTAATTGTTTATATTTATAGACCTGATTGGTTACGTTTAATTGTTGAAAAACCATTTAGTAAAGATTTTGAAAGCTCAAATAAATTATCTTCACATTTAACTAAATTTTTTTACTGAAGAAGAAATTTATCGTATTGTTCATTATTTGGGAAAAGAAATGGTACAAAATATCATTGTACTTAGATTTGCAAATCAAATTTTATCAAGAGTTTGGAATAGAGATTCTATTGCAGCAGTTAATATTATTTTTAAAGAAGATATTGGAACACAAGGAAGAGGAGATTATTTTGACGAATTTGGAATAATTCGGTATGAAGATATTTATTTCAAAAATATTCAGGAATCACTCCTTAGTAAAGTGAATAAGTAGTGAAGACAGAACATTGATTCAAGCAAAATCTTGTTCGATGTTTTCTCTTTCATAGGAAGACTTGGTCAGCATATCTAAATAAATAACAATTTTGAGAATAGCTCAGGCGTCAATGCTACTTCGTCCTGTGTTCTGAGTATGCTAGTTATAGTATTGCAATTTAATCAAATGAAGTTTTGACGGCTTCAACGTCTTTTTCATTTAGTATCTTAACAAAGT